GATCTGAGATGCAGCTAATTACACGCAGGAAGGGAGATGCTGGGGGGCGAGCAGGGCAGAGCCGGGTAATTACAGGACATGGGCTGGGACATGATGGCACTGCCCAAAACGAGCGTCCTCCGTGCTCCAGTTCCTCCCAGTAGCTCCCAGGTAGGGAACAGCCCATCAGGGTGCCAGCGTGAAGCCAACCAGCCCTTCTCCCCTCCTGGGGAGCTGCACCCCCAAACCAAGAGCCACCAAACCCCACCTTCGCTAGCACCGCCCGTGCCGAGCTGGGACCCCATGGTTTTTGGGGAGGGGGGGCTGAGCCAGCCGCCGCCATCGCCCCGGCCAGCCTGAGCCCCACCACGTGCCACCTCCCTGCTAAGCATCGTCCCAGGGCGATGGCATCCCGCGGGGACACCTCCCAAATCCCCCCGGGACTCGGGATGCGCCCCTCAATCGCAGAGGGAGGGTGAAACCGGTGCAAGCCCTCCGTCCTGTAAGCCAGCGCTAATAAAACTCAAGTCTAAGCCTAACGTGAAGCGTTTTAATCCTTCGGGGCTGTGATATTTAAGGCTTTAATAGCAGCGCCTTAGGGACTCCCAGAGATGTTTGGGGTGCTGCTCTGCCGGGGAAGGAGCCACGATGGCCTTGGAAGGGGATGGATAGGTCCCACCGTGGCTGGGGGACCACGAGCCGCTGCCAAGCGATGCCACGGGCCGGCACAGCCCAAGCATCCCGGGTTGCCGGAGCATCCCGGCTCACCAGTTCAAGACAACCGGATTTAAACCCCAGCAGGAACAGGGCTGGCCCCAGGTAAAGCAGATCTAAGGCCAAGCTTAATCCAAGGATTAAGGACATCCCTTCGACGACCAAGCTCTGCCATGGGGACGTAGGAGGTACAAGGACCAGGGGGTGCCAGCTCCTGGCTGTCACGGGAGCTTGGCCGTAGTCACGGCCACCCCAGGACTCGGCACCCATTTTGGGGGGCAGCTCGGGGACATCCCGAGTGGGGATGGGGGATGCAGGCACAAACCCGCAGCCGGTGACGGTGGGATGCCCGGCTGCCCTGGCACAGTGGAGAGAAGCCCTGAAGCTCCCGGGCGAAACTAAAGGGAAACCAAAAAAATAACCCCACCAGTGCCAGAGCCGGCTGCTTTTTGGGGACACCCCGACCTCCACCAGCCCTGTACCCCCGCTTGGCCAGCGCATCGATGCAAACACACCGGGGGAGGCGACTTGATTTCGGTACTCCCCCAAATCCCACAAGCCTTTTATTCCCAGCCCCCCTTTA